AGAAAAGTAATATATCCACAGATATAATATGTCAAATATAAGACGTTCCCAGATGAACAAAGACTTCAAAGTTTCATAGTTAGCAGACCTGCCTTACAAGAAATACTAAAAGGGGCGGTGCCTGTGGCTCAAGGAGTAGGGCACTGGCCCCATATGCTGGAGGTGGTGGGTTCAAATGCAGCCCCAGCCAAAAACTGCAAAAAAAGGAAAAAAAGAAATACTAAAGAAAGCCCTTCAGGCTGAAAAAAAAATCATATCAGATGGTAACTGGAATCCATATGAAGGAATATAAACAGTGGCAGTAAAAGTAATTACATAGGTAAAGGTATTTTTCTCTTTTCTTCCCATAGCTGATTAAAAAGACAATTATATGGAACTGTATTACTGGACGGCGCCTGTGTCTCAGTGAATAGGGCGCCAGCCCCATATACTGAGGGTGACATGTTCGAACCTGGCCTCGACCAAACTGCAACCAAAAAAAATAGCCAGACATTCTGGCAGGCACCTGCAGTCCCAGCTACTTGGGAAGCCGAGGCAAGAGAATTGCTTGAGCCTAACAGTTTGAGGTTGCTGTATGCTATGATGATGCTAAGGCACTCTACTCAGGGCAAACAGTAAGTCTCTGACTTAAAAAAACAGTGTTGTATGAAAGGAGAGAAGGTTAGCCCTTGATAAGGATGGAAAAGGCCCTTGGGCCTGATGACACATATATGGTTAAGGCACTGCCATCTACTTTGTGGTATCTAACCATCATTTCTGCCAAGTCGCGGAAGCAATCTAAATGCCCATCAACCCGTGAACAGATCAACAAATGTGACATATGGATACCATGAAATATTATTCAGTCATTAAAAAAGATGGAGACCTGGGTGGCTCCTGTGGCTCAATAAGTAGGGCACTGGCCCCATATACAGAGGGTGGCAGGTTCAAACCTAGCCCCAGCCAAATTGCAACAACAATAAAAAGTAACTAGGCGTTGTGGTGAGCACCTGTAGTCCCAGCTACTCGGGAGGCTGAGGCAAGAAAATTGCTTGAGCCTAACAGTTTGAGGTTGCTGTGAGCTGTGACGCCATGGCACTCTACCAAGGGCAAGAAAGTGAGACTCTGTCTCAAAAAAAGGGAGACTTTACACCTTTTACATTTATCTGGATGGAGTTGAAATACATTCTTCTTAAAGTATTGCAATAATGTAAAAATAAATATCCAATGTACTCCATACTAATATGAAATCAATATATCAACAATTACATGTTCATACTAACTATAAAACATTAATATAGTCCAGTGTGATGGGTAGAGAGAAGCGGGAAGGAGGAGGACATATGGTAGGAGGAGGGAGGGCATGAGGCGGGATCTTACCTAATGTGCACATTGTGAGGGTGTATGGGTGAGGGGCTCTTCTACAAATGGAACTTTGCCCTGGAATGTAGAACAGTGTAACCTAAAAATTATATCCTCATATTAATTTGAACTTAAAAAGGCTGGGCTTGGTGGTTCACGACTATAATCCTAGCACCTGGGAGGGTGAGGAAGGTGGACTGCCTGTGGGTTAGAGACCTGCAGTAAGTCAAACTGTTAGGCTCAACCTGCGCTAGAACGAGACCTCGTCTCCAAAAAAGAGCCAGGCGTTGTGGCAGGTGCCTGAGTCCCAGCTACTCAGGAGGATGAAGCAGAGACTTCTTGGAACCCAGGAGTTTGAGATTGCTGTGAGCTATGATGCCACAGCACTCTACCATGGGTGACAAAGTGAGACTCTGTCTCCAAAAAATAAACAAAAAACCCTCAAATATATGAATAAGGGATTCTTAAACAAGTTTTGACCTTTCCTTACATATATCCCAATGATAAATTAGAGAGCTGGGGGAAAAAATGAATATCTGATAACTTATGTCAGAAAACTACTTAACTAAAATCAGTACCCCCATCTTTTTTTCTGGTAGGGCAACAAAGCTAGAGACAACTCTCAGATAATGATAATAATAACAACAGCTAATACTGAATAAATGAGGTAGCATTAAAAGTCCAAAGCACATATGATTTAATTCTCATGTAACTTTGAGGAAGATACTAGCTAGCACTCTCAATATTACGAAGGACATTACGGTCAGAGGAGTTAAGAAATCGCCTAAGGGCACTCAGTTAATAGAGCAAAATTAAGATATATGACCATAATTTGAGTATTCCTTCAAAGCTCTCTGAACACTGGAGGAAGAAAAGAATTTTTTTCAGTATGCTTAAAGATTGCATTAAACACTACACTCTAAAGAAGAAAACTTAATGCAGACTCTAATAGAATCAGAGTCCTTATGACGTAAGTACCATACTTAGTAATAGTTTTGCTCTTCTAAGACCTCACTCCTTCTCACTGCTCCCCCAAACCCCCAAATATAGACATCTACCTTTAGTTCTTATTTTATTTTATTTTATTTTATTTATTTTAGAGACAGTCTTACTTTACTGCCCTCGGTAGACTGCTGTGGCATCACAGCTCACAGCAACCTCCGACTCCTGCGCTTAGGCAAATCTCTTGCCTCAGCCTCCTGAGTAGCTGGGACTACAGGCACCTTCCAGAACGCCGGGCTATTTTTTTTTGGTGCAGTTTGGCTGGGGCCAGTTTCGAACCTGCCACCCTCAGTATATGGGGCCGGCGCCCTACCCACTGAGCCACAGGCACTGCCCTACCTTTAGTTCTATCATCACTGGATAGGAAAAGATAGCCCCAGATACTTGGATCAAACCCAGCCAAAAAAATGAGATAGAGATCACATCTTCTGTTGGTGGGAGAGGAATAGGGAGCCCTCCCAGGATTGTTGCAGAATGAGAAATAGTGAAATGTCAGGGTAAGTGGGGATTACTAACACAACAAAATTTCTCTGCAGATTCTGGCATAGAATACAGAATTCCTAGGAATACTGCTACTAAAAAGCTGCCAAGATGTCTATGAAACGACATGATAGTTTATAAGAAACTGTACTCTTGGCTCGGTGCCTGTGGCTCAAGTGGCTAGGGCGCCAGCCACATACACCTAAGGTGGCGGGTTCGAATCCAGCCCAGGCCTGCCAAACAACAAGGATGGCTGCAACCAAAAAAACAGCCGGGCGTTGTGGCAGGCGCCTGTGGTCCCAGCTACTTGGGAGGCGGAGGCAAGAGAACTGCTTAAATCCAAAAGTTGGAGGTTGCTGTGAGCTGTGATGCCACAGAACTCTACCTAGGGTGACAGCTTGAGCCTGTCTCAAAAAAAAAAACAAAAAACAAAAAACAAAAAACTGTACTTTTTCAATAAAGTCAAGTGAAATAAGTACAAACACTAAGCAGAACGACAATCCATCAAAACCAGTCAAAGAAAATACTGCAAGAGTTCAAACTTTATACTTGCTGACTTGTTCAACCACCAAGAATTTAAATTAGGAAGTTATAAAAATGAAAAGTTCTGTAGGGCATTTCAATGAAGCTACAACTTAAGTTTGTTTATGCTTCGCAGTTGTTCAAAATAAGCCACCCTGACTTCTTAATCACTTAAGGTGTTTATGAAAAGATTAATATATATATATATATATGTTCAAGGACAAAGCTGATTTATGAAAGTGCTTTAAAATCTAAATTTGGCCTGACACAGTGGCTCACTCTTGTAGTCCTAGCACTCTGGGAGGCTGAAGGAAGGATTGCTTGAACTCAGGAGTTCAAGACCAGCCTGAGCTAAAGCAAGACAGTATCTCTACTAAAAACAGAAAAATTAGCCAGGTGCTATGGCAGGTGCCTGTGGTCCCACCTATTTGGGAGACAGAGGCAGGAGGATTTGCTGTTAGCTAGACTGTTGCCTAGCCTGGGCAACAGGGTGAGGCTGTTTCAAAAAAAAAAAAAAATCTAAGTTTAGTCAGTTTATCTTATGTTCGCCTACCCGAGAACTTAGGTCATAAGACTTCAATGCTTTAACCTAACAGACTGTTTCTGAGGCCTTCACAAAGAACTTTCATAAAAGTGGGGCAGGAAGGAAATTTGGGGAGCATGTCCTCTTCCACTGGCCACAGCAAGACTTATAAGAGGTCCAAACCAGTTACAGAACAGGAAATTCAGGCAGCGGGCAGTGCCTGTAGCTCAAAGGAGTAGGATGCCTGCCCCATATGCCAGAGGTGGCAGGTTCAAACCCAGCCCAGGCCAAAAACTGCAAAAAAAAAAATCAGGAAATTCTAAGGCCCCTGAGCTAAATTACCCTGGGAGGACCTGGTGTTCTCAACAGATGGGAAAGCTGATACAACTAAAATCTGTCTGGGGTCTGACACTTTCCCATTCTTAACATTTAATCTAGACCAGTGGTTTCTCAACCTTCCTAATGCCATGGCCCTTCAATACAGTTCCTGTGGGTCG